CTGCCAAACAAGTAGCGTTCAGCACTCCTCTGCCTTCCCTTGCTCTCCTTAGAGGTGGGAAGGCTTGGAGCAAAGAGGCGGCTGTGCGGATGACGCGGTGCCTGCGCTTTGGCCAGGCACGCCGCTGCTCGGACCAGGCGAGCGGTGCAGCGCCCTTGCCAACTGGCAGCAGGAGCACAGGCTTGGGGCAGCCTGCTGCTGCTCTGACTGACAGGATCCTGGCGATTGTCCTCTCCAGCTTTTTAATGTTGGCACCCCCCAGAAATGGAGGAGAAAGGTGGAATTTGAGTTATTAAATAGCTGCAGCATCCCTGGGACAGAGAAGGAGGGGAAGAGGGAAACAGCAGGTCAATAACTAGGGCTTTGCAATGCAGAGGCTTTCAGCAAAAAGTTTCCTTACCCCTCCAGGGCAGGTACAAATTAAGTGTCTAGCTCTGTGCTTATGTGTTGTGCCCCGGGCCCCCTTCTTCCCAGATAGCTACAGCAGCTAGCTTGGTGGTGAGGAAGAGATCATTGGGAAAGATTACTTGAGGCTGTTGATTGTCATGCAGCCTCTCCTGGCTCTCTGCCATAAGTAAATATTTAGTTTAATACCTAAGAGGTGGCTGTGACAGGTGCTACAGTTCTGATGTGCCAGTGCTGACACGTTGCAGGGAGAGCTGCAGTGGTGGACTTGAGGTGGCCTTTGCACGCCACATGCAGTTTGTTTGCTGAACGCCTATTTTCTTCTTTTTCTCATGCCTTACAGCCCTGCTTTCTCCAAGCCGTCTTCTTCCCTGCTGAATTCAGTGTTGAAGAAGTGGCTGTGAAGGGGTGAAATGGGCTTTAGGGAGTTCAGTAGGTGATGTACGTGCCTGCTCCTGTTCAGGGAGGATGGAAAAGACACACCAAAGAGCTAAATAGTTGCATCTAGTGCAGTCTGTAAAAATATAGAAGTGTGGGCATAAATTACTTGACCTAATCTTTCGCGACGCTTCATGGTTTCTGGGATGTAGAATGGAAGCAACCAGATATTGCTGTAGTGAGTATTGCTTTCCCTCTGTACAGGAGTCGCCTTTTGTGCCGAAGCTTAGCTACCTAGGCAGTTTTGGTATTTCTGTTTCTTTTCCTGACCTCTCCTGAGCTCAGAGGAGAGATGGAGTCCATGAAATGACAGAATGCTTCTGGAATCTTCTGTGAAGTGTGGGGAGATCACCAAAGACAGAGTTTTATACAAACACAAGCTGTGGATCAAGCAACTGTTCTGTGTGATCCAGGTTGAGTTGTGTGGCCCTAAAGGGAAGGGGTAGGACCTTTCTTGCCTACTGAAATGACACATGTTTATGTTCTTGTCAAAAAGAGAACAGCTTGCTATACTTAGGTTGCCTGTTTAGGCTTAAGCATCCATAGGGATGTTCTGAAGCTCCCACTCCTCAGACTTCGCAGTGTTCACGGTTAGAGGAACATACCATTCAAAACTCTGTTTCGGAACAGCATCTGGAAACAAATGCAACTGCCAACTTCATAAAATGCTGAATCAACACATCTAATGGTGTGGCTGTGTATTATTGAACCTAGTAGTATATTGATGCTTAGAAAAAGTTTGACACTGGTTATGGTGAAGAGCCTGGAAGCTTTCTGTGTCTGCTGACAGTGATTATGGGTTGATAGTGTGATGCAATACAGTATTTGTCCTAAAAGAAAATGTCACCCTATTAAAAATAAACTTTCTGGCGGCTGTGATAGAGTGTGGTGGGCACCTTAAAGATCAGGGGACTTTTACAACGGTGGTTCTAAACTGGTTCCTGTACCCTTGGCCATCAACATGGCTGTTAGACTAGTTGGCCTGACAACTAGTCTGTGGACCAGCCCAAATGAAAGGGAACTGGTGGATTATCAACTTTGTGCGTTTGTATTGCTAGTTTTAAGAGTGTTTGAGGGTTGGCAGCTGTCTCTTGATCTAGAAGCTGGAGAATCGTGTTAGTGTAGGATTCGTGTAATAATTTTAATATTATTCCTAGAAGTTCAGAAGCAGAAAGCATAGATAATCCCACTGGCAAAGAGTTGTGGTCGCTATGTGGTATGTTTTCAGGCTGGCTGCTTTGGATGAAATATCTCAGTTACTTATCGTAAGATTTAGCAATGGAAACAAAAAAAGGACCAAAAAAAAAAATCCGAAAGGAATTAGCTCTGTTCTGTAGAGAATAATGCTTCCTGGCGGGCTTCTGACCTTCTTTGAAGAGAAGGACCTGCTGATGTTGAAGGAACATTAATTTTTTTTCCACTCTGTGGATAGAGTAGGGGGTCTTGCTAATGGATACAATTGCAACAGCCAGTCTGTATGACTGCACCAGATTGATTAGCTGGGTTCTGGTTACTGCTGCGAGTGGTGATTATGCCAGTACAGCTGCTTTCTCTTGTTATGTACTAATTACCACACGCACGGATGTCATCACCCTTAACACTGCACGGAGTTGTCCCATTAGCGTGGGAGTGGGAAGCAGCAGGGGAGGGGAGCTCTTCAACGTGACAAGCTGTTTAGACGTGAATGGAGTGGAGTGATGAAGCAACTATGCTTATGCAGGATTTTTAAGCCATCTTGTCTTTGAGATTCTGCCCTTAGCCAACATTTTTGCAGGTTGTCAGAACCAGACCCATGTCCTTGGCAGCATTTTCCATGGGGTGCAAAGCACCTGGATGCTGAGCTGTAGCTAACAGGTCTCCCCCGTTGACGTGGCTGGCTGCAGAGCCTGTGGGACAGCAGCTACGCAAGCTGACCTGCCAGAGGAAGAGAGCTTGTGGCTAGCCCAAGAAGGTACCTTCTCTAGCTGTGGTATCTTGCAAAGCCGTTCTCCAGAGAGGAGCAACTGTTTGTTTCTGACTTGCCAAAGAAGGATATGATGGAAAACCCTTGCAGTTCTTGAGAGATTCGGAATGCTTATTTTATGAATTTATCTCCCAGCTCTGGCGGACCCCTCCTTTTCCACTCCTTTCTCCTCCTCCTCAAAATCCAGTCTCCCCATCTCAGAGTGCACCATAATCTCCATGGTAACAGGTCTTACCATCGTACATCTGATTTGGGTTTTTTCCTCTTCTTTTTCTCCTCCCTGTCCCTCCCCTCCCCAGCAAGCAAGATGGGGAAGGAACGGGGCAGACATGACAGAGATGGGTAAGAGCTAGATAAACCCCTAAGGGCCCGTTCCTTCCATCCAACCAACGAGCTTCTCTGAATACACTAACTGCTGAGTGATAGCCAGGGCAAGGAGTGACCAGCTTCTGTCCTTAAGGATGTCTTCTCCTCTAATGTGGTCTGCTCGGAGGAGAGGTTAAATGCGTTACTGATGACAGGAAATAATGTAGCTATATTGTTTTGCTCTGATTTACTTTGTGTTACCATGGTTGAGATGAGGGTTCTGGGTACTAGCTTTTGGAGGGCACACAGTTAAGTGGTCTCTACCTCAGACTTCTCAAGTTAAACTGTCAGCCAGAGAAGATATGGGGTGGACAGTACAGCTATGGAGAAAAACAGGTACGTATGCTGTCATCCTGAGCTTTACGCTAGCTGATGAGTCCCACCCTAATGTATTCTAATTGTTACTTCCGGCCACCTCAGCAGTGCAGTAGTGGTTGATCTGCATTCCCATCTACCTTTATCCTGTTGTTCCAGCACATCCACATTCCCTTCCTGCCTTCCTGGTCCAGCATTATTCCCTTTCCCGAGGAGTCTGGAAGAAATGTTTTGTGATGGATGGATGGTTGCCCACCAGAAAATCTAACCAAAACATGTCATTCACCTGGGACTTATCCTACTGAAAATCTAGATTTGAAGTCTGTTACCTGCAGTGATGTCAGTTTTATATCCTAGGTAAATTTCTGCCGAAATTCTGTTAATGCTTTGGACTTGTAAATGCAGTTTTCAGTCCTACCCTTCTGAAGCTGTGACAGAATGTGCTCTGATGGCCCAGTCCACTGAAGCAGCTTGTCCCTGTCTATTTCTGATTGCCAAACCAGTTCATTAACCCCTCTTTCCACTTCCCATACCTTTGTTTTCATGGTCTACATATGTCATATTTTCTGGCCAAATGGAGTGTTGTCAGGATACATAGTTGCTGGATAGCAGGGAGCAGGAAAGCATTGTGCTGTACGAAAGACATTAGTTTCTTGGAGTAGAAGGAGAGTGTCTTCATAGATGTAATCTGTTTCACTTCATCATTCTTGCTTTTCAAGCTTGTACGCTGCACAAACCAAGCTAGCACAGACCAGAAAACAGAGCTCGCTGTTGGTCCTTTGTGTGCTCAGGGTTCTCATTCACCTGCATTGATGCAGCATTTGGGAGGCACTGGCTTGCAGCCATGCTGACTACCTGCAGCCTTAGCAGCTCTTCAGGTAAAATGGGTGGTGTTGGAAGGGGACCTGAACTGAGGGATTTGTTACTTGCGTACTTGTGTTAGGCTCACAATCTCTGGATTTTGTTTTTCCTTTGTGCACTGTCGGTGTGAGGGTTGGTCGAACTCAAACCTTTTCAGGAGGCTGTTTAAATGTTTAAAAAAGGAAACAAAATTATTTGTACGTAAGGTTTGGTTTGCGTAATAGAAACAGTAAATTTTTGATGCTGAAAACCCATGTACTTGACAGTTTCCTTCTCCACCCTAGTGAGTTGAGAGGTGGAGTCCCAGTTGTCTGGCTTTCTAATGACTATACCACTTGTCCCCATCACTTTAGTCAGATGGAACAGAAGAACTGTGCAGCACACTATGTGACACGCAGATTCTCCTGGGGTCAATTCTTTGTGCTTCACAGCCGTGTGCCAGTCAACCTGGTTAGACGCTCAGGGGCACATGTATGTGCATTTCTAGCAGCTGCTTACTCTCACTGCTGGATTAGTGTTTTCTTGCAACATCTGTAAAGTGACATGTCTCCTTGGCCAGCTGTGCTGCTGCAGACATTGAATACTTGTGTAAGCCTCCTTGGCTCCCCTGCCTTGTATTGTCCTTTCAAGTAACCTCCTGTTCTTGTTTCAGAGAGTTTTCAACGTTCTGTACCCAATGCCTGCTGACCAGAGAAGACACGTCAGCATAAACTCTGCTCGCTGGCTGCCTGAGCCAGGCCTGGGATTGGCGTATGGCACCAACAAAGGGGACCTGGTGATTTGCCGACCAGAGTAAGTGATTGCTCTGCATGGAGTTATAACAGCTTGGGACGTTCTGCTCTTAGGGCAGTGGGGATTAAGATGGCTTTTCACTGCCTGGGGCACTGCGTTTGAGGGACCCAAAAAATCCAACTCTTAATATGCCTTTTGGACTGCCACAGTGTTTACCCGAGTCTCTTACAATCAATGTTGGTTTTGCTGATTATAAACTTCTGAGGCTGTTTGAAGCGCATCTTATTAGCTCATTTATTTCTCATGTCTAGCTAGGCTTTCTGGATCCTTTCTTTCATGTATGTCTAGCATAGTGTCTTTCTGTCTCTCTGGATTTACGGATTTCTAAGACTTTCCGATGCAAATTGGAGCTGTTTAGTGATATGCTTGCTTTCCTCGGCTTTCATGGAGCCCTTGAGTCCACCAACCAGGTTGAAAGCTGCTGACCTAGACTTATTAAATACTTGTTACAGTATTCAAGCATGAGATTCTATGAACTGCCAAGATTTTTTTCATGATTATGAGCAAGCCAGTGAATTGTTTTGGTCCTCACTTGAAAGCCCAGTGATGTTGTGATGTGTAGATTTTAGCTCTCTTTTATTTATACAGCACTATGAAGCGTGAAACTGTCCCTTTGTAAGCTTGCAATTAAACACAAGCTAATTTAAATGTGGTGTGACACAGATGATGACTGTCTAAGCAGTGAAATATGTATTGCTTTCAGTTTTCTTGTGGAGTCTCTGCACCATACTTAGCTGAGACCCTTTTCTCCATTGTGTTAATGCAAGTGGTGCTTTTGAAGCAGTTTCTTTTATGCTGCAGGAACACTTCATGGATTTCTCTGCTTTACTTGTTTCCTGGTACTAAACTACCTTGGTATTCTTTTGCGTTATGCTTCGCGTGTTGAAGTTCCTCGTAACTTAAAAGCTGACAGCTAGAAACTTGCAGCACTGCTGGTGATCTTACCCACGTGCATGTGGACTTCACCTGTTGTGCATGAGATCAGGCATGTGGTGCTTGAGGAGTCATATGGTCAGTGTAGAACCACTGTCTTAAATCAGAATAAATATATACAGTTGTAATAGTGACTAATTCAGTGCAGCCTTCTGGTGAAATCTGTGGTTGGAATTCAGATTGGACCAATTTCAGTAGTACAGAATGCCAGCGCTCTTCAAACAACCCTCTTGTTCTCTTGAACATAATCTTTCATCAAGGCCTTATTTATACATGAAGTTCTACAAGATATTATTATGGAATAAGCTATAATCACTCTCCTCCAGGATAAGTGGCTTTCTTCAAGTATAGTTGCTTTACTTTCTAAGCACAAGAATTATTCGCAAATAATGGCTCCCTTCTTCTCAAACTCTAGAGAGTTTTTCTAAGTTATTTTCAGTAGAGAGAATTGGTAAGATCTAGTCTACTGATTAGGGCTCATGAGATGAGGCAAATGAAGTTTCCCTGAGGGTGCATGTTGTGATTGAATGCTACGGAGTCAAGCATGGTCTGGCTGCCCTGGCTTGCCACACCCCACATTAGGTATCTGTTCTGGTGCTTGCACTAGCCCCAAGCTAAGTGGCATGTCTCTTCTTGGCACCTCACTAATTAAAGACACAACAGGAACACTTTCCATGGTAGATTATGGAAGCACTGTCATTCCTTCTGCAGCATCTCTGTGAAATCTTCTTAGCGCTCTATGTTGCTAGAGCATCCTTCCATCTCCTTACTTTTATCTCGGCAACAATCATGCACAGTTCCAACAAAACTAAACTTTATATATGAACATGAAACAAGGTAGCTGCAGAGGTGGGAGATTTATTGGTGGTTTGGTAGAAATGCTTCAACAGGTTTCCTGCTGGTGGATTGAAGTGACTGATGCTTCCAGTGATTACTGCAGACCTCACATGGACTGGTGGGTTCTTTTTGGAGCAGTACACCTGATATATTCTGTTCTTAACTGCACCATTTGACAGACCAACAACAGCCAGAATGAGTTAAAAACCTCTGCATGAAGGTGTAGATATTCACCGAGCTGAATAATCTGCATTGAGGCTTTAGCATCAGGACACACGAATGAGTGAGGCTCTGTCAGAGCAGAAGTGGCTTGCGACTGTGATGTCTGCCCCAGATCTACTTGGAAGATCCTCAGAGAAAGGAAAAATCCCGACATGCAGGTGCCATCTCCGTAATCCTTGGTTTAATAGACTTGGTTTGAGGTTGGCATATCTGTTGAGTTTAACTTGAGAAGTGAGGGAGAAAGATGAAAAACACTTGCATAGTTTCCATATACTGTAATACAGAGGAAGAGAAATATTAAATAAAGGATTCAGCAATCAGTAGAGTACTATATGGGGGATAGCCCAGCAAACAGCAGGGATCAGGAAAACACTGTACTGCTCAAAACACCCCCACTGTTCTAATTTGGCAAAGAAAACTGGTCAGTAGCAAACAACTGAGATGGTTATAATTCCCTGAGTCTTTATTCTCACGTACAGTGGAGGCATTTGAAACCAAGTACTACAGGGATCACACAAACAGGTTGGAATAGCAGCTGTGCCTCAAATACAGGATTTGAAAAGCATGTGCTTAGGGAAAATGAGATGGGTAGACTGGAAGTACAAGCTGACCTAAAAGGCTATGCAAGTAGTCCTTCCAGAGTTCTAAAGAAACAGTAATTAAAACCAAACATTTTGGGCTATATCGTTAAGTTGGGGTAGGACTGGTGACAGTTTTTCTTGCAAATGGAAATGCTAAGTGTCAGGTTATATTGGCAATCCATAAGGTGAACTCGGTACAGAGATTTATGGGGTATATTTTGACGGAAAATTAAACCCATAAAGAATGGGATCGAATGCATTGTGATTTGACTAAGGTGGAGTATAGCAGGTTGGGTATCTCTCCTTGAGAATTTTATGTATTTATCTTTAATGAAAGGGTTGACTAAGCCCTTGCTCCTGGTTTAATACCTCTACATTTTAGTAAGGAAGTTCCCATGTTGGAACTACAATAAATCTAGTTAATTTGTAAAGAATTAGGATTAGAACAACATCTGGAGAAGAGCAGGAGAAGGCCTGGTGTGCTGGGAAGAATACAACATGATTGAGAGCTGGACTATGTTATAAAAGAGGTCAGTTGATGGACTTCTTTAGGAACCTGTTCTGGGACTGGTTGTTAATGCTGTTTAGACTAATGCCTTGTAAGGGTGGGTGAATAAATTTGCAGAGGATGTGACATTAGCCTTGTCATTACAGAGAAAGATCAGAGCATTGCATAAGAACTGGCTTGCCTTGAAAGTGACTGGAGCTATAGGAAGGAGGTAGAATTTAATAGTATGACGTGCTCTTAGTGCCTGGTAACACCAAGTTCAGTAGTTTAAATGACAGAGAGGAGAAAGACCTGAGGTTAGAAGGTTGGCCTGAGTAGAGAAGGTTGGCTAACCAGCCCATTTCTGCAATAGCCTGTACGTTGGTTGGGTGGGTGCAAAAGGCTTAGCTGTTTAGAGATGCAACTTGGCTGGCTTGCAGAGACAAGTGTATGACTTGAATACTTGTGACTGGGGGTGGAACTAGACTGCTGAGCTGTGAGTCTCATTTCCAACATTTTGAACCCAAGGTCCATGTCTAAACAGGTGTTGACAAGTTGGCTCTCAGAGCGGTTGTGCTGTGGGGAGGTGAGGTGGTGACAGCAGTGTTCATCCACACTTGGAAGTGCACCTAATGGGCCTGAAAGAAGCCTGTAAGAGACTGGAATTCATGAGCCAGTACAGTAGCTGTGAAGATAGAATAATTGTTTTTATTAGCCAAGTACATAAACCCTAGCAGGGTTGCATTCTGGTGAGTAAAGGAAATAAAGGATGTTGTGTGCCCCCTCCCTTAGATTTCAGAGTGACACCTAGCTCACTAAACTGTGCTATTGAAAAGCATCAATTTGTTTGCTCTGCTTTTTATGTGATTAGATTGGAAGAAATTTGTATTGTAACATCAGGGAAGTTCCTCCTTTCCCAAACACTCAAAGCCAGCTGATTTATGTTGTTTACTAATATGTTAGTTTGAACATGCAGTGATAGATACAGGCTTGTATTGAAAACCCAGAGTTCCCAGTTGTCAGTGAATACGTACTATTCTGAGTAAGGGTAACACATAGCAAAGATGATG